GGGCTTCTTAAAATGGAATTTAACCGGAGATAAGATGTCAAAAATTTGCATTATATTCAATTCCCTGCATAATGAGTTAGCAAAAGAAGGCTGATTTCGACTCAAAACAACACATGCGGAGAGCTTATGCTTTCAGCAGGAGACTGATGTAAATAGAAGATTTAAAAAAATTAATTCCTACCGAACTAATACAGTGAGAGGGAGCTTTACACTAATGTTCAGCTTATAAAAATTGGAAAAAAAAAAAACAGAATAGGTTGAACGTGACGCTGACAGAAACTTAAGCTACACGGGAAGAGAGATGTTGACGAAAGCATGTCAGATATGGGGAACTGTTCTAGTATCAATAACTTTGTTGGGTGAGTATCAAAGTTCTTTTATGATCATAAATTTAGTTCATTTAGTACCAGAAGCATACTCCGAAAAGAGTAACTTCATCAGAGTTCCCTAACGGGACTCGAAGATTTTGCCCTCACGACGGCCCTTGGACGAAAATAGGGACGGGGAGAGAGATAAAACCTTTGGAAGTTCTCATTTTCATGTATTGCAAGGACCTAATTTGAGAAACCGGTCTATTATTATTACTGAGCTCAGTATAGATAACTCATGTTAGCTATAAGTCCAATTCAACTTAAGTAGATTTTCAAGGTGAAACTCTTACGCAGCCATGTAAATAAAGGTTTATTTCAAGCCTGTTGAATTAGATCAAAGATATGGATTCTGTGGAATGTTTAAAATAAACGCATGTGTACTGGACAACTTATCCAAACTACATTTCAAAAAACCTCACAAATTAAGGACTCTGCGAGAAGACAGAATGTTATTCTTCTTTCTTTTTTTTTTTCTCTTTGAATTCTGAGCTTTCATCTCATTATTGATTTATCAAACTCCTGTCGTTGTGCAAATAACAGTTGAAGAATTGACATTGTTAAACAGAAAAAAAAAATGTACGTCTCCAGTACTGGTGACCTTACTGTAAAACTTCTCACAGTAATTTTTAGAATTCGGAAGGAAAATCCATTGTAGATAGACTTCAAACGCTAATCCCATAAGAATCGTCTACAAGGTAGTCCCCCTTAAAAAGTAATTTTGTTCATAAATTTGTCGTGAAGGACTTAAAAAAAACGCTGGGACGTTTTACTTCCACCTGTCTGAACATGAAAACTGCAGTTTATTCTGAAAAAAAAATTGTCGTTTCCCGTGCTATATCTGATTTCTTAGTAATAAAAATGAATAAAGAAACTGATAAATGAAAAAAAAAAAATTTTTCAGAGGAGTTCAATACGTAAATTGCATCAGTCATATTCTATTTTCCTACATCGCTCGTAAAATAAACTGAATACAAAAAGTAAAATATTAAATGTTTGGTTTTCGAATTAAGAATTTATCTCTTGTTCTTTTGTAAATCGGATAACTTTGTGGTGGTGGAAATCTTGCAAAAAGAGAAACACATACACACACACACACACACACACCTACACACACGTGCACGCGCGCACACACACACACACAAACACGCGTGCATACTCACACACACACACACACGCACAAAAGCACAAGACAAAACAAACAAACAAACAAACAAAGAAACAAGCAAACACTCAAGGAGAATGTTATTAAATACATTTTCCGATTTTGAGTTTGGAAATCACCAAAATTTTGGCGGCTAGTCTGCTGAAAATACATTCTCGTATTGGCCGGAGTTGTGTTTGATATCGCGATCCATAAATCAGAGAAGGATACACTGTGGTCAAACCAGGGAGTGCTTAATGAACATTGTAGATACTTTCCTTCTGCCATTAGTATCAATGGGAACAGTATTTCAAAGACAGTGTTTTGTCGCGGGTTTTGGAAAGATTTCGTTGTTATTGATGTCACAAACAATCGACTTCAGCAAAGGATATGAGCGCTATGTAAATGAGCAAATGTGGAGGAAAAAATTATTCATTCTGAGCTTTAGGTTTTCAGACTTATTCAAAAATCGTGTACCATCAGATGCTGATGTTTCCATCGTTAATTTTCGATGCAGTTAATACATGGCAAATAATTCGAAATGAATGAAAACTTTTAATTGAAAGCTGTAGGCTGCTCTTTTTGATTTTCATCTCTTCTGGTACATTTGTAACGACCCCAGCAACATCACTTTTGAAGCGTACCTGTGAATCCCATTTCAGGGCTGTGGTGTCAATTAATGATTAATGACTCTCAGCCAACACAGTCCTTTAAATTTAGACAGCATAACCATGGTGATTTAATGTCGTATCTCTTTAAAAGAAAGAAAAAAAGAAAAACTTACAAAGGATGGCGACACTGATTATCTTTATCATCGTTTTTTTTTTATGTTTGTTTGTTTGTTTGTTTTTTTTTTTTCAAATATTATTTTTCCAGGATATACCAGAGTCAACCAAGATATCTGCAACTCCAGCGAAAACCCATGTCCACGGGAATGTTTTAAGGAGGAAGAAAAGTGTGACCAGCTGTGCCATAAAGGCAACTATAACTGTTCTCTTGAATGTAACGGAAAGAATTGCGACCAAGATTGCGACGCTGAAAGCTGTAACCTAGAGTGCAGCAGTAAAGTGTGTGATCAAAAGTGTAAAAACAACGTAAAAGAATGCAACATGCATTGTAATGCTAGTAAATGTAAACAGACGTGCGACGCTAATGAATGTCACATTACAGGAAGTGCAATCCAGGATATACTCGAACAGAAATGCAACGGAGGAATAGATATATGCGATGCAAAATGCTACGTGAGTAGCGGTAAATGTTTGCAACATTGCGATGCTAAAATATGTAATCTGAAATGCTGCGGGAAAGAGTGTGATCAGAAGTGCAACGGGAGAGTAGATAGATGCAATATGTTTTGCACTACAAATGAGTGTAAACAAACGTGCGACGCTGGCTCTTGTAACACGACAGAAATCCAGCTAGTCAATTCACTGACTGAGCAGAAGCGCACACCAAATTTCAATTACAGGACTTTATATTATTGTAACTGCCTCAGCTACGACAACTGAAGTCATCAGAACTCAACCATCAGCTACAGAAGGTAGAGTAAATTATCATACTTTTAGTGAGTACCATTTGAGAGAAAAACAGACCATGAGTAAGTGTTTGTAAGTGCCCCCTCTATGATAAAAAGATATCTTGAAAGTCAATTTCCAAATTTCTTCTATTCGATGGGAGCTTTCCGATATTAGTTTAGATCGCATTTTGATAGTGATATTTTGCTTTAACACACAGCTCACTTGCAATCATCGTACGGGTCGCCGACAGCTTCTCATTTCTCTTACCCTTACCATTGTCATCATCGTCATCGACTTTCTCATTATTGTTTCTATCATCGTCATCGTCGTGCTCATTATCATCATCATCATCATCATCATCATCACCATTATCACCACAACATCCACCATTAACGTTGTTAATGTCATCTCACTTCTTTCCTTCGACATTCTCGACATCGTCATCGTCATTATCATCATCGTCATTGTCGTCAATATCCTCAATACTATTAACATCGTCGTCATCATCGTCATTGTCAGTGCCACCACCGTTATCTTTGTCATCGTCGTCATTGTCAGTGTCGTCATCGTTATCTTCGTTTTCATCGTCGTTGCCAGCCTTGTCCTCATCTTCATCATTATCATCACCATCATCATCGCTATGCATATCCTCATCTTCGTCTTCGCCCTCGTCTTCTTTATCGTCATCATCATTGTCATCTTTAACTTGGATAAGCCCATCATCGCCGCCAGTAACAACTGAGAGTCTGGTATGTATTGTAATTTCTCCTAGCCCTTGCTTTCATTATTTCCACAATCTATGGCGTTAGTTAAAAATGTTGTCTTTTTTGCCCTAGGCTAATGTATATGTTTGTAAACTTGATGGAATTGAAATTAGCAGAGAAAGTTCCCTGAAGGTATCTATCAAAATTCATTTGATTCATCAGTCATTTAAGTAGATTGCAAGTGCATTATCGCGAAAGTGACCATCTTAAAGTAAACGCGAAGGCGTTTAAGAGCATTATAAGAATCTGGTGTAGACAGGTTACTCTTCGAAATCTCAGGAGATCTGAAACTTAAATAGTTTTCAAGTTTCTTTTGGCGAAAGAACCATTTATCTCTCATGATAAAATTTATCAAACATTTAAGAATGCAGCGTTCTGAGCAAGCACATGGTATCGATATTCCTTCTTCTATGTTAAATAGCATACTGCAACAAAAAAATAATAAAACAAAAAAAAAAGGAAAGGAACAAACAAACAGAAATAATTAAGTAAATACCAGGAGGGATCTGTCATTTTTTAAATTTATTTTTCTTATCTGTTATTGTTTTTGTCCTTGTTGTTTCTTTCGGCTTTTTTTTGTATATGTCCTTGTTCATGTGTTTGACTTACGTTTGTTGTTGTTGTTGTTTCTTTGGTCTTTGTTGCTTTTTTTTCTTTGTTGTTGTTGTTGTTTCTGTTTTTCTCGAGAGAGATCTGAAATTGTAACTCAAATTTCCATTATTACAGGCCTGTCTACCTTTGTCAACTGTCCCGGTTCAGAAATTCAATTTTCATTGTGTTTAAAACATTATTAGGTATTGAAAAACTTGAAGTCAATGTAAGATAAATGAAGAATATTTGTGTAATTTTAGGAGGCATTGGTTTTGTTCGAAGACTTCGCCGATCTGTGTCAAAGCATAACAAAAGCTATCATAGGCCAACTTTGTAAGGAAGAAATAAAGAAAAGAACAGAAGCCATCTTCCGGGTGGCAGTCGCCTTCGAGAAATTTGTTCTTAAGTACAGCAAGTATCATCTGAGTGAGACAAGACCTTCCAAAAAGATTACTAACCAAAAAATGGGTGAGTTAAAACCCGAGATCTTTACACATTTGTTGTTTTTTTCGCCTGGATCTTATTAAACCCAATTACATATGGTCAATCTTAATTCGGTTCTGTCTAAATATGTACCTTCAAGTCTTTATTGAATTCATAGGAAACGCGCACTTACTCATATGTAATTGATATCTCACTTATCTTCTGCTCCTTTCGGCAGCTCTGGGTATTCAGTTAGGCTACCGCCAAAATACAGGTGACTTCCTTCTCAAGGAAGAAGAATGGCAAGCCAGTATCAATATATCTTCTGCAAATTTTGCAGAGAATGGTTTGTATTAACCATCTCGAGTTCTTTATCACTCTGTTTTATGCAATGCCATTTTGCTCACGATTTCTGTTTTATCGATCTAGTACTTCTTCATTTTTCCAAATTGGCCGGCAAAATTATTTTGATTAGTTACTGTGAAAATTAATATTCTTCCCGTATCAGTCCAAATTTTGGAAAATATTTAGGACGAAAGAACAGCAAACACGCAAACTGTATTGGTATTTTCAAGATATAAATATCAAGCACAAAAATAACAGCAGAAAAATGGGCAGCCAAGATAATAATTGCTAGCGGAGTGTCAGGGTCAAAAAATTATATTATGAATGATGTAATATCCAGGGTAAAAGTAACAATTGGTCGGCTTGGTTAGTTAAACATCAATGTAGGAGAGTCAAACATTTAAAGTCTGTTTTGATTTCCAAAAATATCTTGGGCAAAATTCCCGTACGAACTCAAATTACATTAAACATAAATTACCTCTCAAGATTAAGGGTTCGCTTTTTGGCATACACCGATACCTTTCTCTTATTTTTTGTCGGCTATTTCCTTTTCAGGGTCCGTGATCGTAGGGTGTGTTTACAAGGATCTTCACGAACTACTACTGACAAATCAATCTGTTGGGAATGAAACTGACAATACAAGGTCAGCTTGATGCACGAAATATTTGAGACCTAGTTCAAGCATAGCAGGTCTGCTTTCAGCAGTATCTTGTAAAAATTTTCAAAACATCGATTTTTTGCTCTATACTGAATGATTTTTTAAAAAAAGAAAGCAATCCATGGCCTGAAGAGTGTTTTAGGATAGCTGGAACCAAATAGTGAAAGGTGTAATGGTCCAGGTTAGGGTCTTCAGCAGGAGTTACGTTTTATGAGGGCTTTCGTTCAGGATCTCGATTTGCACTTGACTACGTCTCGTGTTTCTCCCTACACTTCTTTTGTGCTCTAGCCGCTTCAGCGTGCTTTATAACAGAACAGAGCAAAGTCACGGATTTTCAAATAGGTTATGTTTTTGATGAAACTTGGATAAAGTATTTTTCTGATATTATTGCAGAAAAGGGTGGGCCTTTACGAAAACTTTCTTGTGACTTTTCAGAGATGTATTTCCTATTATCCAACTTCAAAATAGATTTTCTTAGGAACCAATATATAGGAATATCGAAAAGAACCTCACACTCTTTTTTAGCCCATTATCTGCTGAATGATACAGTCCAGTTCGTTTGGATGTTAACAGTAATTCGAGGGCTGGTAACTCGGTTAATCAAACATCGTTTGTTGTTTTTAAAGGCTTGCACGTTCCTATCAAAAAAAAAAAAGACTCAGTTTTTTCATTCATTTTTAGAATATAACCCTAATAAGCTCAACACTGATAATTCTTAGGAAAATGTTCGTTACAGGTTTGTGAACACCAGGATAATGACCGCAGATATGGATCCTAAACTAGAAAAATTACAACAAGATGTCATCTTGAAGTTCAGAAGCCTAGAAGTAGTTATTTTCAGCGCTGAAAGATAACCTCAGTCCTTTTTTATGTTGTGTTGATTTGATTCAAACGAAATAAAATATATTTTCAGGTCGTTGAGGCAGAGAAGCATTGCATGTTTTGGAATGGCTCCAGCATGAGGTAAAATTCATATACGTTTCTTATTCAACGTCAAAATTAGATTAATAACATGGATTTTTTTATCTGTTTGTCTGTTGCTCCTAGAAATACTTTGTACCTGAAATGAATGTTTGTCATATAGTTTATTTATAAAGAATGGGGCGAGGGTATCTTAACGGTCTAAATACACCTAAAAAAAAAATAGGCCTTTCTTCAAATAGGCCTTTCAATACTCTGCTTATTTGAGACTCCGATTACTTATCTCACATATTTTGTTTTTCCTTTTGCCATCATATTCATGAACTTTTTTAGTCCAGACGGGTTCGCAGATGAGGGTTGTCATGTAGATTCAGCGAAGAGCAACTCAGTGGAAACAGTTTGTAGATGCAATCATTTGACCTACTTTGCTGTCTTAGTTCACTTTCACAGTGGTGGCACAAAGGTATCTTTTAAAATTATTTATGTACTTTCGAATATTTTTCCATATAGTTCATCCGTTTGGTCAATTAATCAAATCTTAATTTTTGTTTGTTTCTAATTCCTAATACAGCTCACCAAGAAGGACGGAACTATCCTGGCGACAATCACTTACGTAGGATTAAGCCTTTCCATCATCGGGATACTTTTGACAATCATCCTGTATTCTTTCGCCACGTAAGCACTGTTACCAGACAATCAGTTATGACTTTGAAGCTGATTCCATACAGCAGACCAGAACGTGCAAAAAATCACTGTAAAAGTCTCTCTTGGCAACTACGATTTTAAAAAAACTTGGTGTTTATTGGATTGGATAATAAGTAAGTTAAGTCTGTAAAATGTATGTTCGTTATTGACCAATCGTGAGGTCAAGATGGCTGGATATTGGCCGAGTTCTTTTGTTGCGTTTTTATGGACGCAAAAAGGAACAAGGGATTTAACCGGATAATCCAGAGTGGGCAAGATGGGTCCATCTTGCTGCTCGGGTAGCCAATCTATGAAATATTTGATAAGGGACAAGTACCACATATTATCAGTGACAATAGGGCTCATCTGCTTTCAGTTCCTTTAATTCATAACGGACATTTAAAAAATAAAACGCAACTATGAAATAGTAAGTCTTTAGTTAGAGCGTTCCTTCCAGCTTCTTTGCAACCAAATATACTGGGAATGTCGAATATCTTATGCATTTACTGGCATATTTTGTGTTTATTGCATGTTGGTTTTTTTTCCTTTGACTTTAATTTTGCTTCTGATTATAATCATAGGATTTGTCGTGCGTTCCTCTTTGTCTTATTTTTCTTTATTTTCGTTTCTTCGTCAGAGATGTTCGTCAACCTCTGTCACAAGTACGTTTAAGTCTTTCTGTGTCCCTTAGAGCTGGACAGATTATCTTTCTTGTCGGGATAAACGCCACCATAGACATGGTAAGCTGCATGTTCCCACATTCACTGAAGAAATTGTTTTTGTTTTCATTTTCACAGCCGGGCAATGTTCTTCTGTGTTCTTTCTTTCTTTTTTGCAGGCTGTCTGTATCACGGTAGCAGCTCTTATGCAGCATTTCCTGATGGCCGCTTACTGTTGGATACTGGTCGAGGGAATTTATCTCTACCTGTTTGTTGTAAAGGTGTACAATATCAACACCAAGATGCACATGTATCACGTCATGTCATGGAGTATTTATGAATATTTACCGCCTTATTTGGTATATGATTCCCCAACATACATTACATTCTTCTTTCTCCCTATTTGAAGGCCTTCCTATCGTCATGGTGGGTATTTCACTGGGCATCGCAACTGGAAAAGATGGACTCCAAAGCTACACCAGTGATAAATAGTAAGAAAATCATTAGCTTCTGCCAAAGATTGTGGATGGTTTGAAAGAGATACCGTTTCATCGGCTGGAATATTAATTTTCTTTAATTTTTTTTTTCTTTCCTTTTCTCCAGTTGCTGGTTGTCTTCGACTAATAAGCTCATCTGAATTTTTGTGACATTTGTGGCGTTTATCGAAACAATAAGTTTATAACTCATGTCATATGATGATTCGTATATTCGAACTTTTTCTTTGTCACACATTCGTGAACAATTGACTCTCGTGTTTATTTTGATCGACGTCCATTTTCCGATATAAAGTTTAATTTGTTTAATTGTTTTTTTTCAGCTCAACATTTTGATACTTGTACGAGTCATAAGGGAGATTACTACGCTTGTAGAACCATTAGCGGAAGACAACTACGGCCAGCAAATAAGGTATGTTTTGAAATATGACACACGGAAAAAAAAAACAACAAATCAACAAAAAAAATCAAGGCATAACAACAACAACAAGAACAAAACAAGCAAATGGAAGTTTGATAAATATATGTTTAGGTGAATCATGCAAATAAATATACATGCATTCCTCCAAGCAATGCAATTTTTAAAATTGCGTTCTCGTTTTTCCAAATTTAAACGAGTTTTCCAATTTAGTTCTCCGGCTTCTCCTTGCGGATCATTGAGGTTCGTGGAGAAACAAAATCCACTGTTTCCCCCACGGTCGGCCTAATATCTTGGCATCACCTTGGTCTATGATACTCGCCTACTTCCTTTTTATATGGAATCTGTGGGTTATCTAAATTTGATAAATTAATGCGAACAAAATCAAGGAAAGACTAACTCCCATGCGTACAACG